TCCCTAACGGTCTGGGATTCTGTGATTGGTCAGTCTTTGGCAAATACACCAACTTGCAGTTCACACACGAGTCACTTCTGACTTAGTCTGACAAGAATCAGCTTGTGTCCACCCAAAATTAAAAGGCCTCACAGTCAAGGAAAGAAGACTAACTTACAAATTCATGCTGGTACCAAGCAGCACCTATCTCAGACAGATGTGTGGGGTGAGAATGACTGAATACTAATTGGCAGGGAGAATGTGACCTGAACAGTAATTAACTGGAGATCTAAAGTTTTATATGATTCCAGTATCATATATCTTGAGAATCACAGAATCACTCCTTGAGAAAGGAGTTCCAGTTCCCCCATTTCTCTCTGCTCTTCGCTATACACTGAAGACCTCTACCTATTGCCACCTCTAACACTTGTGAGACCTCTCAGGATACTTTACTGCTGTTTTTCATCAACTGAAACACCTCAGAGGGCTCTGAATCAGCAGAGCCAACAGAAAAAGCGAGGAACATGTGGTCAGGAGCAGCAGAAATGAGTTACAGCCCACCTCTGTGAAACGGCAGCCTGACCCCATCACCTGCTGAGCCAGTGTTTGACTGCTTAGCTGGAACTGCAGCATCATCAGCTGGCTTCCTCTGTCCTCAACTCCTCCACCCACCTGGCCTGGTTGCTGCACAGGAATAACTGCCTTTCATACCTACTTGAAAGAGAAGTCATCACTTCTGTGCATCATGATCTAAGAGCTCTGCAGGTATCTGCAGCTACTACACACTTGTTTTCATGCAGGGGATCACAGTACTCCACAGACCCAAAATCCAGCCCCATCCTTCCACACAGGCAAACCCCAGCACTTTTTCTATACATGACTGAGGCACTACGGTGTGCAGGGGATGAAGGGGTTAACTCTTTCAAATCCAGCCACGTTACCTTTCAGTGCAGGCACATAATCTTCTGCCTTCTCTAAGATTTGTTGATACGTAGCTATTGCATTTTCGTATTTGCCTAGAATCTGCTCAACTGCTGCAGCTTTGTAAATGCTATACACGAGCCCCGGGTTCAGCTCGCTCGCTTTCCTGAAGGATTTCAGAGCCGTTGAGTAGCTGCCTCTGCTCAAGTAAGCCTCTCCTAGAGACTCCCAGCAGTTGGAATCATTTGGATCAGCCCTGAGAGCTGCCTGCAAACTGAAGACACCAAGAGAGAAGTTTATTTAAATGACCAGTGACACAAGTTAACAGGACTTATTTCCTCACATCATACATTCTCAGGACACAGACAATTATACAGGACTTTTTAACACAGCACAGTACTGCTTTCATCTTCAGACCACATTACACAAGTTTAGACATTGCACCTAACCATGGCTCGTTATTCAGTGCTACACAGCACTTGTCTGTGACGAACCTGTCACCGGGCTCGTTAGCACAGAACACGGATGACATTGTGCTAATTTGGGACCTGAAGAGAGACACGGCCTGCTCAGACCCATTTCCCACTGGTTAGCACAAGTCATCCTACAGGCAGGTAACTTCTTTTAAAAGCTTGTTAAAGTCCAAGAGGGTTTTACAGAAAATGACCTAAACCAACCACCAGTTCTCTTACTCGGCCACTGCTTGTGACGGCTGACCACATCTCAGGTAGTAAAGCCCACGACGAAGCCAGGCCCATTTCGCTGAACCAATTCTCGATTTTCCGATTACCTCGTTCAGGATTGACAGAGCAGTGTCCTAACAAAGCCCCAAAAATGCCAGGTTAGTAAACACATCTATGCGTAAAGAACACAGCTCTTGTTCAAGAAGAATACTGTGAATCCAGCAAACCATTAAACTGTCTCATCTGTTAACTGCTGTAACGAAGAAAAGTTACAGGAGCTCTTGAAAGCTGGTAGGCTGAGTGGCAGATCAGAGGAGGAAATTACCGCATCCGAAGACACGATTATTTCCCTTGTACCTGTCTTTGCAAATAGACAGCAGCTTCCTGAGGTTTTGCCAAGGCTATTTTTTAATCTATTTTTTTTTAATTAGAGAAGGATACAAGTATTAGCAGCAAGGCAGATACCTAGACTGACTTTCCAGATGTTCAAACGGAGGCTGCCCAAGTATGGGTTGCCTTCTTGCTCTGCTGTATCACAGGCTAAGAACCTTTTATACAACACTACGTAAGAAGTATTTTATGACTTTGTATGCTTTTCCTGAAAGCAGCACGGTGGAGGGTGGAGAAAAGAAGTGGCACAAGTTAAATAGGAAAAGAAAATTAACTTTCTCTTCAAGTTCCCTATGGAAAAAGTCCTTCATCTAAATCATATATGTGATGAGTACAGTGTTATGCTCAGTTCCCCTACCCATCTCTCCAGAGAGATTTAATTTGGAATTGAAGCATAAAATTGAAGCAGGTCCAACTACAAAAGCTGCTAAGCAACGACAGAACATCTGGCTTCAGTTCTTGTTCTAAAATTGAGAGGAAACCTGAAGCAATTCCTCCAAGAGCAGGATTAGCAGAAGAACAAAGCAGCAGTAACCCAAAGCCCCAAAGGTACTAAAAATACCGTGTCCTCAAGCTCCACACTTAAGTCTACAGCTGCTGCTCCAGATTCTTCATCGGTTCTGTCCAGTTCAAAAGCCTTCCTATAGCAACCACGAGCTCTACTTTTGTCTCCAGCAACATCTCTGTAGTAGTTACCTAAACAACAAAATGCACTTCCCAAGTAGCTGTCCAATTTTGCAGCCTGTAAGGAAATATGAACAACACAATGTAAAGACAGGACTCTGAAGGATTACACTGATGGACAGGTCCAGTGATAACTGTTCAACCTCTGCTTATCAACTTATTTAAGCTCCTTCTATGATACATCTAAGGAGTCAAACTTTAAGATTTCAGAGATTTCCTAAGCTTTCAATATTTGCAGAATCTGCCTCAAACCCCATGACACAAAGCATTTTGTACATCAAGTCCTAGCAAGCTAGTTGTGCTAAGAGAAAACAACTCCTTCTTACAACCCATCATTTCTGGATTCTACTCCGTTTCAACCATTACGCTCATGCTCTTACCATATTACTTCACAATTAACTCCAGCCTTTCCTAAACTTCAAGCTCCTTTTAAGACACACTTGGCAGATTTGTTTATACTTCAGAAACACACAGCCCCCATGCAGCAGAAAACAGGTTTGACAATAATGAAAAGAAACCTCACATAAAAAGGTTTAGAACCAAAAGTACTGCCACTTTGACTACGTTCTCCAGCGTTCTCTGCTGTGATTGAAGTGCAAACAGTAGGCAATGAATTCAGCTGCTAACACTGATCGTGAAGTTACGTGGTGAGTTACATGGCAGTGCCACAGAGATGCTGGAGGGAGAGGAGCATCTCCTGCTGAGGAGCGGCTGAGGGAGCTGGGGCTCTTGAGCTTGGAGCAGAGGAGACTGAGGGGTGCCCTCATTCCTGGGGATCCATTGGGAAAGGGCAGTGCCAGGAGGAAGGAGCCAGGCTCTGCTCTGGGATGGCCAATGCAATGGTCCCAAGCTGGAGCACAGGAGGTTCAAGCTGAAGATGAGGCCAAAGTTTGTGAGTGTGAGGGTTCTGGAGCATGGCCCAGGCTGCCCAGAGAGGTTGTGGAGTCTCCTTGTGTGGAGACACCCAAAGCCCTGGCCGTGTTCCTGTGTGACTGCTCTGGTGATCCTGCTCTGGCAGGGGTTGCACTGGGGGAGCTTTCCAGGGCCCTTCCAGCTCCTCACATCCTGGGATTCTGTGATTCTGTTTACAACGTACAGAGTCCTATTCTGAACACTTCCACCTTCCCAATAAAGATGTCAGACTACAACTTTTGGATTCACTTTCCTACCCATGCTCAGAGAAATGGTCACAACCACCTGAAACCCAAAGATCAGGAAAAGTTCATCGACTGGGGGATTCTGCAGACCTTCCTCCTCAACTCTGACACCATTCTTATCTTTTTTCCTTCTTCACTTTTTTGCCAATTTGAATTTTGCCTTCCCCATTTCTAAACTTCTTCAAAAATCTACACTGGTCATCTACAGGCCTCGCCTCTGCAACCCTCAAGGAGAGAAGATTGACAGAATCACTGCTGAGTCTGGCCAAATCAAAGGACTCAAGAATTGGGTAAAAAAGCAGAAAACAAAAGCAGGGAGATTCCAGGTAACTGCACAGCTCCCTGCACTGCCTTCTTGCACCGCTGAACTCGGGTTACAGGCTCTGAGGGCTTGGACGTGGTAACAAGCAGAATATTCAAGTCTGTCATTCCACTTAGTGTATTTTCCACGTTTGGTTTCCGACATAGGACAACACTAATTCTACACAAACAGTTAAAAAGCAGGCTTTACCTTCAAGAACTGAGTGTGTGCTTTTCCTTTGTCTGTTTTTGTCTCATCACTCCTGAACCAGTATGTGAGCCCCAGGTAATGATGATACTCGGCACTGTTGGCCTTTCTTTCAATAGCATTTAGGAAACTAAATAAAAGGAACAGAGCTCAAATCAGACAAGTTCTCCAAAGCTGCAAAACACCATGTTCTATTCTTCCTCTACATTTCCCTGTTAGAGAAAAGAAAAAAATTTAACCTACCTTCTCTCTGCCTGTTCATAGTTCTTTTGGGAATAATGGATGAAACCCTCTAGAGCATGGGACTCAGCCAGGTCAGGGTGGGACAACAGAAGCTCTTGGGAAATCTGCAAAAGGATGCAATTTTTCCCCTAGTTATCGTCTCTAGGAAACCACAAACTCTGCTTAGCTTACAGGAACAGCAATGCAGCACTGACCTTGGAAGCTTGATCCACTGAAGCTTTGTTTAGATACGCCCGACCTCTGACAGCTAAAACCACTGGGTCACTGCTTCCATCTGCAAGCTAGAAAACCAAGGAATAGACATGACCAAGTTACCGTCTCCCCAGATGGAGAAATCAATGGTGTCAAAAGCAGGCAGACCGAATGAGGATAAAGATGAGAAAACATTTAGATTGAATGCCCTTGAGAAGCCTTAGACTGAACAATTTTGATGGAGAACAGGTAGGAGACTGTAGAGAGCAAGGACAAAGGCACAGGAGTCTAAATAGCAAAGAATGAAACCGAGACACAAAAAAACAGTGAAAGCAACTTCTGCTTAAAGCTTAATCATTTAATCTCAAAGTAAAATGCTCTGGTTCATGACTAACGACAAGTGAAAGAAGGACTTGGGGAGCAGGATTACAACAATAATTCAAATTAAGATGAAGAACAGCCATAAAACCAGCAAGAACCCAGCAGCACCAAGCAAGACCTGACAGGGTCAGAAGTGACAGCTCCTAAAATTGGAATTGTGAGTGAAAAGAAGCTGTAGCAAAGCCGAATGAAACAGAGAAGGAAGGAGCGTTTGGATTGCACCAGAGATGGCAGGAGTTGTCTAAACCACAGAGAACGTAGCATGGAGGCGAGGGGAGGAATACACAGCTCGAGTGTTTAGTACACAAAGGTGAGAGCACTTTTTAAAATTTAAAAAAATAAATTCATTTTAGTCAAGGAAAATACCTGCTCAAGTGCTTTGAGGGCTTCTTCCGCAGCACCAGCGTCACCTATTTTAACCAAAGCCTCTGCTTTCAACTGAAGGATAAAGTTCTTCCACTGGAGACCAGGACCCTCGGGAGGTCCAAGAGCCTCAAGAGCTGTTGATAAAAGTTCCAAGTAAAAACTGAAAAAGGAAGTACAAAGAGCACCACTGCTCCCAATGGCTTTAAAATCTTGTTCATTACAATCTTTGAGTTGAATAGAGCACCACTTCATAGAACGTTTTGACTGCTGTCCCCCAGGTTGAAGAAATTGTTCTATAAAATTTCTATCCATTCAAGTTTAAAAGTTAAATCCATTTTAGAGAGGTTCTCTAAGGCATGTGGAGAGACTGATTGCTTTCTAGCTGCTGACCCTAGAAACGGGAACGCTACATTTTTCCAATCTGGGCTCTGAAGAAACAATGACCTTACAATAAACAAGTCGCTTTACACTTGAGTGTTTAAAGGAAAAAAATAATACTGAAACCAGGGATTTAACTCGGTGCCTGTGCAAAGGTAACTTTGCACCTTTCTGTGCAGTACTGTTCACTTCTCCAATGCACAGTATAACCTTACCTCAGAGAATGAGGTCACCTCTGTTGAACTTCAGCATTCTCCAAAGGCAAGAACTTGCTAAATAACTGAGTTAATGATATTTATTTTCACACATTATGAACTTTTGTGGGACTTTCTGGTTCTGATGATTCACGTGTTTTCTCTTTTCCTGAGACTACACAGCACAAGGTGCTTTTCAGCTCTCATAAACCATGAGATGCAAGGGGACACCAGCACAAGCCATGAGACTACACAAAGCAAAGGACTATGCCTGCAGCGAACTCGGAGCTACCATGCAAAGGCCACGCGGGCTGGACCACACGAAGTGGGGTAACCCTGCAGGTGCTCTTGCAATCAGTGGGCACTTACCTCGATTGCAGGACAGGACAACGTCCCTGTGCTTGTGAATGTTCATCTGTGCCTCTGCCAAATAACGCCATGCTGCTGGGCAATGGCTAGCCTTCTGCAAACCTAATTAAAGAAGAGTTTAACAAATTTACAAACTGAATTTAAGTCTTCTGATATCTATACCTATACCTATCTATTACTACTAAATAAGACCTTGAAGCTTCAAGGCCTAAAATGCAAATGTTTGGCTTACTGGGAAAGACATTACTTCACACATTATACCAAGAGCCTTGCCCTTTGCATTCTCCCCTTCATAAGCAGAGTATCACATACAGAGGTCAAATTAAATAAAATTATTTGGGAGATGTAACTTTTGCCAAAAACAGGTTGTAGATTTTGTCAGAACATCCAGTAGCCATTCAAGCCAGAAGAATTTGCTTTCCACACAAGATTTTTTTTCCTCTTAAGTACTTGGAATTTTTATTTCAGATTTTAGGCGAGGCATTACAGAACATTCCGAAATCCAGTTTCAGAAACAATCTTATTCTAAACCTGGGTGAAAGAACGCAGTCTCAGCACACCCCAACTGACTTCTGATTGCTTTATAAACACTTCTTTACTCCGCTTTCTCAAGAAGCTGCTTTGAATTTGCCATGGCCAGCACAGTGGGAGTGGAGAGTCCTACATTCCCACTAGTATACCTAAGAATAACTTTCAAAGTGCTCTGCTGTTTCCATACAGGCAAGACAATGACAAATTAGGAAGCCAACTCTTCAGCACATACAGCTACTGTAAAAAACAATCCAAAATCCCTCCACTAGTTCTTTAGATACCAAATAAGAGTGTTTACCCAATATAAATGTTAAAGAGCTCTTAAAATGATGTAACTTCAAAGGGAAGCCATCCTTGTTCAGATATAGAAATGCAGAGACTAGATTAGAGGACCTGCATTATATTTTACTTAAATCCCACATTCCTTCATTAATTGCTATTCTTGTATTTATTGCTGAACATTTACAGAAATGTTGTAATTAAGGCTATCTTTAAAAAAATTCACTCCCCAGAGAAAGTGACAAGTAGTCCTTTTAAATTTGGCTGGTTCTAGAACCGGCAAAGCACTACACAAGCATAAAATTCCCAAAATATCCAGCATAAACTCGCTGCTGTTCAAGTTATGGGGTACTTAAACCTCCTATTACACATTTACCTTCAGTAAGACTCTTAACAGCCTCCTTGTACTTCTTCTCTTTGAGGTATTTCATACCAAAACCAATGATGCCTGGACCACTATTTGAATCCATCTCCAAAAGCATAGAAAAAGAGTTCAAGGCCATTTCCGACAAAGTACCTAGTTTCAGAAAAATACATATACTTAAGAGAGTTTTAGATTTTAAAAATAAAATGCAACAACATACCTTATCTGCGTAAATGTGACCCTTATCCTTTCCACTCAAAGGAATGAGTTTATTAACTTTTTTCCCAAGGGTGTAAACTAACCACCCTCCACCCCCAAAACCAACCCCAATAAACAAGCAGCACCACCAAGCAAAATCAACTGGCAATCTCAAACCTGAATTTTTAACCACTCATCTGAAGTTACTACAGGCATGCTTGCTTTATTAATACAAACTAACCCCTTCACATGGTTTTCGTGGAGCCCAGCTAAGTGCCCACATGTCAAAACCTGCCTCAAATAAATCAAAATAATTTCCTTCCAGAGGAGGCCTTGTGTACCCACAAATTTACTGAGAACAGCTTGCTGAAACAGTCTTGCTCTGAACTCACATAACTCAATGTCTTGGCTTAATTTTAACTGATGCCACTACGTACTTATGCTTGTGTTTAGCTGTGGTTGTAGACTTGGCAGCCCTTGCTTAAAGCAACTGTGGCGACTTTCAGCAACATTACCTGAACTCCTGTTTTCTTTAACAAGTTATGGACTCATCTGACATAAAAGTTGCCCTTTATTGGCATTTGGTAAAGGTGACCTAGGTGACGATGCCACAAGTTTGGGACGTGAAGAACCATGAGAGGGTTGTTATGACTCAGCCTTGAACAAACAGCCTTGGTGAACCCTCAGCATCGTCCTCCCCACCCCAAGAGGGCTGCGGGATGGTGAGATCTTCTCAGAGCACTGGTACAGAAGAACTGCGCCAACCAGATGCCCCTTTTCCTTTGGAAATGAGTTTCTGCGTGCTTCTCCAAACTGTAAAACATTCTCATGCAGAAATGAGACCCTGGGCCTTGTCTGCCTGCATCCTTTCAAACCAAAGTGAAAACTTCTCTCTTGGTTTATGTTGCTACGTTACTTCATGAAGCTTATCTCCAAAATTGGAAGTGGCATTCTTCTACCTAACCTGAAAGTTATTTCTCTTCATATAAACTAGAAAGGTTTTTTTTCCTCCTGATTACCTTCCCTTGCTTTAAAAAGAAATATAATCAACCCTTCATGCCTTACACAATAAAATGAAAGACCAAAATTTAGCAGTTGTCTTTAAAAATGGTGAGAAAAATCACCAACACTACTGCAATGTTGTTTAGTGAACTACTGAAAATAACAACCGTGTACTTTCAGAACACTGCACTACTGAACACAACACGGTTTTGGGTTTTTTTCTCTCAGAGATTCTCCTTTTCTACTTAGAACAAATACCTAAGCAGACCAGTTTATTCCCTATCTGCCAGGCATTCTTTTCTGTGTGTTTTATTTTTGCCAAGAGACATTTTCTGTGTCAAAAACAACCTAAGTGTAGCCCATGCTCAGCCTCAGAGCACTGGTTATCATTCTCAGTTCCCTCTCCTAAGCTTAAGGAGCCACCTTCACGTACCAAGAGAAGCTCCTTTTGAGTTTGGTAAGGCATTCTTTCTCTGTGACTTTGTACATTGCCAGAGCTGGACTTAACTCACAGCATTTTCCTGCCAACTTACAGTCACCGCTCCCTTAAAGAGCTGGGAAATAGCAAATCATAGGATCAAGGGCTTCTCATTTCCAAACAGGCAGGAATACAACATCAAATAGTAAATAGTGCACTTGTATTGGGGCATGAAGGGTAAAAACTTGTAAAAAGGTTGCCACAAACCTAGCAATAAAAGAAATAATTTAAGCCCCAAAACTGTCTAAATCCATCCTACTCACCTGACTCAATGAAGTGCAAGCAAAGTACTTCCACAGGATAAATCACAGTAGGATACAAAACCATCATATCACTACAGGCCTTTTCCAACCTAGAGGTTTCATGAGGAAGCTTGAAAGAGGAAAAAAATAAAGTTATTTGTGTGAATTATCAGATGTGCAATATTACATCTGTTCGCTGATGAAGACAGATTAACATAACCTTACTTTTGACAAGCACTGAATAAAGTCCTTGTAAAGGTTTTGGTGGTCCTCACCAGGAACAGCGTCAGCCGTGTTCAACGCATGTTCAAATGCTGTCAAAAGCTGAAATGAGAAATAACGAGGAGTGCAACAATGACTCTAAGAAAACGTTATCTTCACCAAGCAGACTACTGCAACTGGAAGGGACTCAAAATGGCCACCCAGTCCACCGGCCTGACCACTTCAGGGCTGCCCAGAGAGAAGTTAGAACGTGTTATTAAGGGCATGGGCCAGAAGCCTCTTAAACACTGACAGGCTTGGGGCACTCAGCACCTCTCTACTTCGAGCGTTTCACTACCTTCTTGGTAAAGAAATGCTTCCCAATGGCCAGTCTAAACTTCCCTTGGTGCAGCTTTGAACCACTCCCACTGGATACCAGGGAGAGGAGACCAGCACCTCTCTCTCCACAGTCCCTCCCTATAGCACAGAGCTATGACCTTGCCCTGCAGCCTCCTTTTCCCCAGACCATACAGTTCTGAGTTGCTACTCCTAGGATATGGCTTCCAGCCCCTCCAGAGCTAAGTGTACAGTTACATGTCATGATCTGGATCCTACTCATTACGTTTGCAGTCGCACTGTGAACAGGGGGTCACACAGCAAGCTCCTTATCTTGAAGTAGCACTCAAGTAGGATCCAAAGCACAGAAATTGTCTCATGCAAGACTAAGCAGTCATATACTGTCTCATAAGACAGGCACAAAGAAGGCAAAATTTGTCAGAGCAGAGATTCTTCTTCATCTCTAACCCCAATTCAAGGAAGGACTCGGTACCACAAAACCTAGGTTACTGTGCTCTACGGTCAGCTGTCAGCCCTCCCCTCTGTTCAGGCAGAGGTCTCGTCTTTTAGTTCTTGACTCCTGACACAGGGCAGAGCACAGGCACTGCAGAGCGAAGGCTACCAAACAAGCATGCTGAACAAGAAGTTCTGTAACCGCTTGTCGCAGATAAAATGCTGAACAGGAGGTTGCCTTCAACCCCATCCCCTTCCAGGTTAAGATGCTTTGCTCAGAAATGCAGTAGATTCACATGTGAAACTCATCTCTAACATTTATGCAACTTTTTTTTCTTTTTTTCTTTCTTTAACTCCTTTTCCCCATAAAAGAAAGCAGTGCTGCCTGCAGCACCTCTTTTCTGTCATAGCTTGTAAGTTAGAGCATTTGCCTTCTCAAGAAGCAGCGATCCAGATTCCATGTTCCTCTGTCTCAAATTATTGCAATCTCTACTCTCCACCTTTCGGGAGCACTGCTATCAGATTGGCGATGAGGAACCTCCACTCTTCCTGATGAATGAGGCTCATCTTGCAAGAACACATGAACCAGATAAAACAAAGTTAACGTTGGCCGCAGAGGACACAGGATCAGTATAATTCATTATCACTGTTTGCTCCAATTAGTTTTTACATTCTCCTAAGAAGCAAGAGCTTAAAATCTACAGGAGAAAAGAAAACGTGAAGCAAAGCACTGCGATCTAAGATAAGCCCTAGGTAGAAAGAAATGGCAAAGAGCACAGAGCTATCTCTCCCACCACAGAGGAAAGCAGGGGAAGGGTCTTGTTTTGAAGAACGACTGCATTGTAGGTTCTGTCAAAGCTTATGAGCGATGCTTCTCACAACACGCAGAGGTAGAACGATGGATCACTATGCTACAGTGCAACCCTGGGCTCCTGCAGATCTTAGGAGGCAGCTAATGAAGGAGTTTCAGGACGACCGCTTGGATTTAGGCGCCTTATTACACCTAAGGGCAACCTCAGGCTGCTGCATCCTCGCTGCTTTTGTCAGAAGGTAAAATCACCCACCTTTGCTGGAGAAGCTGAGTACCACTGAACGTTAGCAAGGCAAATAGTCACAAGATTTGCACGGCTTCCAAGGCTTCATTTGAAGTCTGGCTGCATGGTGCATACGTACATATCTAGGTGAGTGAAAGTGAGAAACGTTACCAATTGCTCAGTCTTATTATCCTGGATCGGTGTACTGTCGTGCAGTAACTGGATCATCTTCTTCCAAAGCTGATGAAGCTCTGCCTTTTCTGCACCTCCCTCCTCTTTCACTTGTATTAGTTTCCACCATGTCACAGCCACCTGCCAAGAGGAAACAAACGAATTGTCCTGCCACTCTTCAAAGAGCTGGAGGTCCGATACAAGCTTTCCAGTTACTGACAACTCTACCACACAAGCAGAGCAACGTTTCAAGTTACGACACAGACTTACCTGCTTTCTGGTTAAAGCAGTAACAAGTCCCACAGCACTGTGCAGGACCTGGCCACATCCTGAGGTACAGTAAATAAGAGAGGCAACACCAAGACTATGAATTCTTACTCTGGTTCCTGGAGGAAACCAGCAGTAAAAAAAACACACCTAAGCAGTGCGCTGATAAACCCTGAAGAAAACAAAGGAAGCCTCCTTGGATCTACAGCATTACAAACAGAAAGAGAGGAAAAGCAGAGTCCATGGCAAAGCTCCAGTGTGGAAAAATCAACAGAGCTGAGAAAGGGAAAACAGGACCCTAAAGCCTAACTCAGTTTCCTCCTGCACACAGAGCAACTCAGCCTTCATATGCTAAATATTAGCATTGCATTTAATTTCAGAAACTGCTATACAAAGAAGCTTTGGAGATTAATAATAGCCTTGATTATTAAATGCTGAGGGATATGTAACATTTTTCATTTTCCACTGTTAGATGAAAAAGGAGATGATGACATGGAGTAAGACCATGCACCACCTTGTAAGAACGCAATGTTTCTGAAGAGTCAAGAAAGAATGAGTAGCACAACTGCAAAAATACGCATCCCATAACACTACTACAGAGACTATAGGCAATTGTTGAACCATTCCAGCATTTAGCAGCTCCACCTTGTGGTAAGCTGTCAAGAGCCACGACTACTGATCACGCTGAGACAGACTTTGGGAGCACAAGATGGGACAAAGCTTGGGTTGCCCTGGAGCAGCTTTGCAGGTCCTTATTGTTGTGCATAAAACACAGCACATTAGCCACAGGCAACTGAGTTCAGGTTGTGTTCAAATCCCACCTCACCCTCTGGCATCAAGTATCGGTGACAGCCGCAGAAGGGATCACCACACCAGTGCAGGGCTCAGACGACACCTACAAGTGGCCAAGGAAGGCAAAGGACACCTGGCCCACACACACCGCACGTAAATGTGCATTTGGGATCAGGCTTGACTACTAGAAATAACATGGGAGAATGATGTTCCACCCTCTCAGCCTGTCCACGAACATCCTCTGCCAAGTTTTGTCTGTTTAATGGATTGCATCCAAATCTGTTATGCAGTGGAGAAGAAAGGAACATCACTAAAATCAGTTCCTCCTGGCAGTGGTCCATAAGGAGGCCCGAAGTGCTCTGTGGCGCAGAAAATTGGGGATTCTGTGGCGAAAAGCAGTTAGTTCTGATCAAACAGAAATTTCTTGTCAGAAGACAGAAAGTAGACTTCTCAACCTACCTCTAAATATTTCTTTTCTTCATGATACAGTTCCACAAGCTTCTTGCACACATCACACCATTTCTCCTTGTCACTACTAGAAAGGAAGGAAATGCCAAACAAGCAAGCTAAGTTTTCCATTAAATAGTACAACGTTTTTGAAACCCCAACAAATTCTTTTTTAGAAGGTTCAGTTGCCAAACAAACATTTAGAATAAATACTACAGGTCACCCTAAAAGTTTTACTCATTGCTGCTGCAACCGAGTGAAAAAGTAATTACTTCGAAGGATTGTACTTTTCTTCTTGAACTGTTTTCAAATTAAGGAAATAACCCTAACACTCCAGTCAGCTACAGTGACAGCTGAGGCCTAGTTTTGTTCAGAACTGTACCTATATGAATCAGATGATGTATATTCTGTGATCTTAAAGCAGACAAAAATAAGCCTATTTATTAATGCAGGTAACAAACTATCAGAGGCAAATGCTTTGAGGCAGTGAGTTTAGGCAGAGGACATAGGATAACACCAGAATTATATAAACTTCTGACCCTTAGGATTATTACTCCAAAAGTTTTTGCCCTATAAAAAGGGACAGGATCAAGAAACATTATACAGGTATGGAAAACCTTAGTAACAAGAGCTTACCAACTGATGTGACAAGGCTTCAAAAACCACACTTGCAGACTACCCCGAGTATCAACAATGGCATTCACTGAACTAGAAATCTTAGACACAATTCTGGTATTCAATACTCTTTACCTTTCATAGAGGTCCAAGAGCTTCTGGTAAACATCCGCTAAGTCTCCTTTGACATCTGTCTGGTTGGGTTTCTCATAAAAATTTGCTAATCCCTTAAAAAAAAAAACAACAAACAAAAGACAAAGTAAGATTTTATGTGAACAGTTACGTGCAATGAGAACACTGCAAGTTCTGCCTACAAAAGTTACTCCACTGCCTCATGTAGTAATCTCTGAGCAGAGTCAACGCCAACACTCCCATACAGCCTGACTCTACTCACTTTAAATGAAAAGCTTTACTCAGTTTCTTAAATAATACCAACAACTACTCGAAAACTGTATCTAGTACCTAATCGTGTCTCCATGGACATGATAAAAAGCACACAGTATACAAAGCACACTAAGTGATATAATAGAAGATTTACATCCAAGTATCATACCATCCCAATCAGTAACAGAAAGCCAGAATCTGATTGCAAAACAACGGAGGAAATTTCAATATAACTTGAAAATCAGGCACCAACAGTTATATTTTCCAAAGCTATTTATACTAGGAACACTAAGTATTTAAACCAAATACTAAGAACCTTCCCACCTCTGGGAAACATCGATTGCTGGTATCTGAGAGGCAGACCTAGTATGTACCTTCAGCTTCACAAGTCTCCAGCTAACACAACCATATGTTGTAACTATATGCTGTTACAGGTTGACACGCACACAGCTATTTTAAATACATGCTATTGTTTTTAAGTAACAACAGCAAAATTGAGTAAAAATCCACTTGATGCCGGGAAAAATAACTTATTCGATGAAACACTTTCTCTCCTGTAAGGGAAGCACTGTCTAATGTTTCTGGAGCATGGAAATTCTTAAGCACAGACGGATTTACCGCATCTGTTTCAATTCATGTTCTCCCCCTGCACGTTTCGCTGCTATCCAGTCCACACAAGAAATACAAACTGAAGTACACTGAAAGTTCCCCCGGCTATACACACGCAGCCACCCATGGCTTTACTTGGGACACACAAATAATACGAACTTCAGCTACGCCAACGCTTCAGTAGAACTATGAGACTTAAGAAAATACGATGCAAGCCTCAGCTCGGCTTTGTGCCCACGTTTAACTCCATAGTGACGCTTCTTAAGGAAAGAAAAAGTGAATCTGGACAGTCACGTACCTGCCACGCCAGTAACTGGTTGGGTTCAAGTTCAATGGCCTTCTTATACGCTCCTTTGGCCTGATCAGGCTGCTCCAACTCAGCAGCTGCCAGGCCAATAAATACCCAAGCATTGTAGTTGTTTTTGTCCTGCTTCAAAACCGCCTGGAAGTACACAATTTGAAGTGAAGCTGATGAATGAAATGCACCTTACACATTTATCATTATAGTTTCATCATTACAGTTTGGTGAATTATTCTTTGTGGTAATATTAGCCTTTTTCAGTTAACTTCCCAGATCAATAACGTCAGCTTTTTATGCCAGAGAATGCTTCATATCCGAACTGTTCTGCCAGTAACCATACCTGCAGCTCAGGAATTAAAGCACTCCTGCTGAGATTGGGATTAGAAATGGGTTTTATCATGCTCACTGCAGACTTCATATTCTTATCGCCACACACAAGCAAACACAAATGGGAAGGGGAATGAAGGTTTACTAACAGGAATGAAGTTAAATCTGAAAATCGATCTCCTGTATTACATCAATAAGGTATGCCACACTCCACAGTACTACACAGCTAAAAAGTTCTACTTCCCAAATAAAAACCACTTACCTTGCAGTGTTTTAAGGCTTCCTTATATTCTTTATTTCGTATGGCTTCTCTAGCAGTCTTTAACGCTGCCTTCACTTCCTTATTTGACATTGTGGATGCTAAGTAAAAAGGACAAATGATCAGTTCTCACAAAAAGACAGCCTGAACTCCAAACATTGTCTGTATCCTGCTGTAACTGCATAGAGCGTGCTTTAAACATTGCAATACTGTGGAACGTGTCAAAATGCATACGGCACTAAAAAACTGCTGAAGCAAGTTATAGGGTTAAAATTAGTTACATACACTTGGCTTAAGTCAATATGTCAAACAGTTAAATGATACAAAGTAGTGATGCCAGAATGAAAGTTTAGTTATGGTTTAAGATAAGTTTACACGGGAGGAGAGGCGTTGTATGACAGCCACGATAGTATCCTAGAAAGGCACTCTGCGTATCGTTTCTTTTCAAAAAGGAATTAATAAGCAGCGAACTGAGGTTAAGAGGTTGAGGTTGTCATTTAGGCAGCTGCGCTATAGCTCAGTGATTCCTCCCCACCCAGGGAGGGGAATCGGGAAAAGGAAAAGAGATCCACGGATTGGAACTGAAACAGATTTAACAAAATAATCGCAACAACGCCCAGCATTCATAGCAAAATTAGCTGATATAGTCATTGTGACAACCAGGGGAGCAGACCATGGGAGCAGAATGATGAGCAAGACCCTCTGGGGCCGGTTACCATCAAGGAAGGAGCTGTCTCCAGCAAACTTCCCAATTTAGAGTGAGATTGACATTTAAAGTATGGATTAATTCTGTTGGCTGGCTTGGGTCAACTGCCCTGGCTTTCGCTCCCCTCCAGCTCCTGTACCTGGTTATCTCAAAACTGCTTAATGACCTTATTTGCCACAGATGTGTTGCCCAAAAACTAAAACAAAGTATCTGATAAGCTTTGTTCCTACCAAATCGAATCGTGCTGTGTTCCTTTCGAAAGTGCAGCTTTCCAGACCAGAAAATCGATGCCATGATCCCACCCCAGCCAAAGCAGGACCTCAGCACACTGGATGCGTGCTCCAGGGGTTCCCAAGAATCAGAGGTTTTCTGGTGTGCTGCCTGCAGCAGCACCATGGCCAGCCTGGCACTTCTGCTCGCACACACAACAGATCCCACCTCCGACTGCTGCTGTGCAGCAAAAAAGAAGCTGCACTTAAAGACACACCAAAGAGGCATTCGCACTTCCGCAGTTTGACACAATCATGCCCTGTTTCGATGTACATGGTAAATATTTGGCCACAGATGAACTTCAGAAACACCACAGTCAAAGCTGCCTAAATGGGATGAGGCTGAGAAACAACGCCGCCAGTGCAGGCACCGAAAGAGACTGAGTAAGCGACAAGCTGCAGAACAAAAAAAAACCTTTTAGTACCTGAAAAGCCAAAGATAATGAGCGGATGAAGGGCCTAGAGAGAAATTAGTCATGGCAGGACAAAGCAAGAGGGCAGATTTCAAAGACTCCTGCAGAGCCTAAAGGAAGACCACGAAACCTGCCCCACTTACCTCGCTCAACGGCTCCTGAGCATGAACTGGTTTCCTAAGAGGGCGCAGACGCCTCGCTCCTCACAAGCGCAGCCCCTGGCTGACATTTCCTAACCTGAGCTCCATCCCCTCCCCAGAGAAAAGAGACACCACGTCAGGGTACAACCGGGAGCCTCGGCGGAGCTCGGCACTGCAGCCCTGCCCCGGGGCGAGGACCGCCC